ATCCAGGCAACCAGCTGAGTCCTTGCTCAGAAGAACTGCCAAAGATTCAACTTTACAATTTAGCCAATCTAATTTTTCAAAGATTGCAACTTTACAATTTAGCCAATCTAAGACTGCCTAACAGAAGAGAAGCAGCCCTGCCCTCCTGTCCTGCAAGTATTCATGCCTGCTCTGCTACTGCCCCAGCATCTCTCTGGCCACACAGATCTACTTGATTTGGCTGAAAATAATGGCACAAGACTGGGTCAAAATTAAAGTTAGCCACTCATCAATCCACACTTTGAGAAGCAACTGAGACTTCACGAGTTTCCATAGCCTTTCATCTGCTGGTCCATTTTGAGTGAAAGRGATTATGTTTCTCTTCAAGGACTGCAAGAAGCACGGTAGTTCAATTGCATGGCACAAATACAGGCTCTTCTATTCAGGAGCCTGATTCTGTTCTATGCAGGGCAGATCTAGCTTGTACCAAGCTCTGCGCCTTCTGTTCRTTTAAACCTAAGCCCTGGCCATTTGTTTTGCCAAAGAATCATTATTTTCTAGTCCTTTAAAGGTATGCCACTGGTTACAAAATTTGTTTTCTCAATGTTCATTCCTTGCCCTTTTATCACACTGTAGGATAATCACATTACCCGAAACTAGACATTAATTTTGGTATCTAAACTAAGAGGCTAGTGAAGAAAGCAAGTTTCCTCCAGAGGAAAATTTGGGTTAGAATTGTATAGCTTAGCTGTACCATGCAGTGTAAGTGCACTTCCAGAAAGAGAATTGAACTTAGGCCTGAATCCATTCTGAGTGTTTCTCACCACAGAAGCCCAAGTTAAAACATCTGAAGGTCAGTGCTGTGACTAGCCCACTCCAATGACATCTTCATGAGTTAGAGCAGAAGCCCTAAGTGCCCCAAGCCAGGATGACATTCCAAGGAAAGGTATATAATGAGAAAGAATGGCACTAGTACCCGAGGTCAAAACAGATGGTTGACATTTGGCAAGAATAAAAGAAACTCTGTCTTGGGTGTCAGAGCCAGAAAGATGAGTAACACTATACTATAACATAGGCTGCTCCTTGGATTTAGCCCATGTTATTTGAGCAGTAACCTTCTTGCTCTTGATCCACATCTTTTTGAGGCAYCTTATGTTTCTGAGATACAGAATTGTCCAGCCCTGGCTTCTACAGAGAACTTCCATACGTGTACACACACATACACACCTTTACTGGAAATCTTTCATCATCTTCACCTAAAAGATGTAAATTAGTTCTATATTTAGATGTATCTTGGCCAGTTTCCCTATTTCATAGAATWGTGTAACTCTAGGTATGTATTGACTTCATGTTCCAATTTATTAATCTTATGTTTCTAGTAAGATGACAGAGCAACAATTGAGAATTGTAACTTTTACCAGAATGTCTTTGGTAAAATTTTCTGGGGGTTCCATTCTGAGGGTTCTGGGACCATTAGACAGCTACTTAGAGCCTGCATTTTAGATAACACTACAAAAAAAAACCCTAACAATATTCTTTAAAAAGTAATACTAAGGATTAAAGCCTGAATTTCTCACACCATGAAGTATTTCCACAAGCAGCTTGGAACTGAAATAAAATTTCTGAAACCTCAACTGAAATAAAACTCAAACATGTGTTTCATTTTAGGGAAAGCCAAGCCTGAGATTTTACCTTCAAATCATGGTTACCCTTGTTGGTATTTATACAGCTCAGCAGATGATTGAAAAAGAATCAATAACACATGGGGAGAAATAAAGTTTTACTAATAAGATTTGGAATGCATCTCCAGCCCTTAAGCTGGAGCTAGCACACTGTTTGCAAAGAAAATAGTTAACATTGTGTATACAAAAAAGCAGCAACAGACTTAGGCTCAGACCTGGTGCTAAAAAGGCATTATGCAAATCTTTGCAGAACTTAGGCACAGCTTTGGAAACAAGAAAGATTAAAAAAAAGCAGGAAGCATTTCAAGGAACCAAACAAAATTGGATGCACAGTTCAAATATCCTTCATGAAATATAAGCAGCATACAAAAAAACCTCCTGAAGTAGTTAGTGTTTCTGGACTGTATCTTCTGTACCAACAATACTACTCCATTTTTACGACAAAAGTATTTCAGAACTTGAAATCCACAGGAAAACTAGGATGCAAGATCTACTCTATGGGAAAACAGTGCCAAAGCACAGCCTGACTTACTCTAAGTGCAGTATTCAATTTATTATTCCATGTGTAGAGCCATTCCTAAGAGCATGTCCTGAGGTATCAGTGCAATGCTGACTAGGAGGACAGATAATGCTGTAACTATTCAGTATCAGCCATCAGTCTTCCCGCTCATGGATTCTATGCCATGATTTCCAATTATGTGATTAGCAGTAACTAAAAAATGCCCCATTTACAGGATTCAGCATGACCACAACCCACAGGGTTGTGACCCACAACTGTCTAGCTGGGACAACACAAATGCCCCACAAACTGGCAGACCACCAGGAGGATTACACAATGCAACGTTTTCCTCCAAGACATCTCTGTGACAAGGAACACAAGTGCTCTTGCCAGTCAGCTCCAAATGACCCCTGCAGAAGGACTTGGCCTGCATCCAGGATGGAAGGAGTGCTGTCAGGGCTTGGGGAAGCACAGCAGAATCAAGGGTGAAGAGAGAAAACTCAAGTACTTRGTTAATTCCCTGGGGAAGGTGAGTTGAGTACAAAGAAACTGAAGCCAGTTCTGGTTTTGCTGCTACTCAGATGTGCTGAAGGATGCTGGGCARTGTTGACTGTGTCTCTACTTACTTCTGACAGCAATGTAAAAGCAARCTGAGATATGCTGTCTCATAGGGCATCATCTCCTCACTCCCATGAGTAGACWATCCACAAATTTGAATCCTGTCTCACACACAAGGAACATAAGTTTCYAAGGGTAACAGTAACAGTTCTAACAATTCCTTTATAAAAAATCTTTTCMTCTTGTGGAAAACTTGTTGTGCTACACAAGTTACAGAGAATTTGAAAAGAAACGATCCAATTTCAGGGGTGAATGAATTCCTGAATGCTGTTTTAGCAGCAGATATTTTTGCTGCAACTGGTCTCCTTGCACAAACCATTTTAAGAATATATTGGTAGAAAGCCATAAAACTGTTTTACATGGATGGAGTTTCATCATCTCCCACTCCAAAGCAGGCTGGATTGGTCATGCTGACCTTCTTTATCATGGTTTGCATGAGGCTAGGAATACATATCAGATTGTGGTTCAGTCTGCCCTTTCAGTATCCCGATGGGAGTCCTTTGAGACACTAATTTAATTTATGCAGCATGTGCATTATCACAGTTTCAGAAGCGTAATATTCACATAAAATCAAAATATTGCCACTACCATGAGCTTTGTTATGCTATAACTTAGCAAGAATGATTTTCTGCAGGACATAGATGCCAAGCTTTTTAGGAATATACCTTTCAAAATATTCCAAGATCTTCAGTTTTCCTTTCCAACAAATAGAAGACAACTACTTTCAAGTTTTCTCCCAGGAGCTAATTTTTCCCTTAGTTTGAGAGTCATTCTTAGTCTCCTCCTGGTATGAAAAAGGTGGTTTGGCATCAGGTAAGTTCAGTAGTTTGAATTCTGTTTAGGATAGAAACAAAGGTAATTTTGTAAAGGTTAACCAAAGCCTTAGAGAATGACCAAGAATGTGTCAGTTTTGCTAGCAAACAATTTCAAATTCAACATTGCATCATTTTCTGCAATGTTGGTTAAAAACAGACCAACTCTTGCAACCTGGCCTACATCCAAACTGAAAGCAAGTGTATCTCTTTTATTGATATGACACAGAGCCTCGTTTAGGATTTAATGTTAAAGACAACCTCATCAAAGCAGCTAGAACAAGATTTGCATAGAATTATTCCTTTCCTTGCTTTCACTGGCATTCTTTTCTTCAAATGAAAAACAAATGTTTGGWTTTGGCAGATACTGACTACTTTCAAGTTCTTGTCTTTTTATTTGAATTTAAAACTGRCAGACATTCCTTATTAAGGTTCAAAGAAATTCCATCTGATTCTAAAGAGAAACTCATGGGGATTTTTGTTACCAAATCCCATAYATTTTCATACCCTGACATTCCAGAAACTGATAATCTGATTAKCATTATGACATTGTTTTGAAAATAWAGCCAAAGGATTTCTCTCATTGYTGAKCAAGAAATTAGATGCCMATCAWGCAAACCKGGCACCCAACARTAATTTCTACCTGGGGAAGACTTCAAACAAAGGTACCAAACTATTTTTCAAAGCTGTCATTTGTCAGGACTGGAATCCAGGGTAAGGCACAAGCACATCCTGATCTTAAAACGGGAGTTTCCCAATTCAGCTGATTCCTGCTCTGGTGAAAGGCTTGGAGCAGGTCACCTGGCCTCTTCCCTCTCACCACCTGCAAACAGTGACTATCCCGTTTATAAACAGACAGCAAAAGGCCTATAATCACCCAGAGCTCCCACGAGCTCCAACTCACACTCATCCTTCTGCTTACCTGAAGGAGGCGAACCCCGGGCGCTGCAGGCAGGTGAGGGCAGGCCCGGCGGGGCCAGGGCGCCGTCCCGCGGCAGCCGAGCTCCTGCCGTCACTCCGGGAGCGGCGCTGGCAGCACCGCGGCCTCTGCAAACCGCCCCGGGCGCTSTGACCCAGCGGGGCACGGCCGCCGCCCGGGGGCCGAACCGGGGCAGGCGGCACCGCCCCAGCGGGACTACATTTCCCGTGGAGCCCTGCGCCGCAGGGGTGCGGCTCTCCCAGGCGGCCGCGCGGCACCGTGCGCTGCCATTGGGCCGATTCGAAAAGAAGCCGCGGCCGGAGCGGGGCACAAGCTCTGGAGCGGCCGGGGCTGGTGCTGGGGCTGGTGCTGGCGCTGGCGGGTGAGCGGGGCCGGGCCGGGCCGGGCCGTGTGGGGGCACCGGGCCTTTGCTGGCAGAGCGGTGGCTGTGTCGCGGAGGTCACAGGCACCGGGAAGCAGCGCGGGTGGTGTCTGTGGTGGCGGCACGGAGGCCGCTGCCCCTGGTTCACCCCGCTGCCATCGCGGTTAGGCGGGAGGGGTTGTGGGAGGTGAGCAGTTTTGGTGGGGCCTAGGAGGCCTGGGGGATTCCTGGCTCGGGACTGTGCTGCTGCCAAAGCCGCGGCGGTTGTGTCTCGTAGGAACAGGCAAATAGCACAAAGCCTGGAAGTGAAAGGCTGATATCTGCAGCCGGGAAAGTTGGGTTTTGATTGTTTTRGTTTGTTTTCTTTTAGGTATAAGGGCTAATGCTTTAGCTTTTATGTAAGCTGTTAGTCTTAGTGTGTGGTTTGGAGCTCTTTCTACCTTTTSTTCTAGTGCCTGGCAGCACCACAGGCCTTGTGTGTGCTGTGACCGTGTTTTGATGTGTGTGCTGCTGGGGCTTCCCTTCTTTTAGTGTCAGTAGCTCCAAATTCTATTGCTATGCTAATTATAATAACACATCCCAGGCACGAGTGCCTTTTAGTGCCTGTAGTCAGGCGATATAGGTGTTCCCACCAGAATACATGGATATTTCCGGAGCTGTGTGACTCAACGTGGAGGCAGATAAGCAGCAAGGAATGTCTGCACCTTGGGCTTTGCATTCTCTATGGGCTTGAACCTCGCTGACCACTGAGCTGTGCAAATACTTTTAGTTCGGGCTTTGTATTCACAGCTTAATATTTGTCTTTTGCTTTTTAAGAAAAAAGATACAGAATGAGAGCATGAYCTTGATAAATCACACTTTAAGCTTAGATTTATAGCAACTAAAATGTCAGCTGGCTAACAAATATGTTTCCTGTAAGGCACTGATAAAGAGTTTTGCAGTGTGGGTTTGTGTAGCTGGTGAATAACATACTCAGATTGTGAAAGCACAAGTGTGTTTTTTTCCAACTGTAGTTTATTCACAGGTCAGTATTTGTTCAARCCATGATGATATTTCAAAGTTTTTCCTGGTTTTCATACAGATGCCTGACCAAAAAAAAACCCCACTAGATTAGAAGAAACAGAGTATCTCATTTGCAGTCTGATGGCATTTGTGTAACTGCTTAAAGTTGTGAGTGGCTTTTTTCACAGCCTAGGTAGGAAGACTGAGCTCTTAAGTATTTTGGCACTGGAACACAGACACATCTCAAGTTCATGGTGGGATACGTTAAAATGGGACTGCATTACAGKCAGGAAACCAACACTCTTTCTGAGCTAAAGGGTTTTGAACCAGTCCTACTCTGTCCATTGCTTTAGTGAACACTGCATATTCTCGATTAGTATTTAGTACTGGGCTTTGCTGTAGCCTAGACATGGCAGTGTAGCACTAAAAGACCATTGAATTGTTGTGTCCAAAGCTTCAAAGTTTAGGAAGTCATGTGGTATATGTTGGTGGGAAGGAGGGAGGGGTTGGGGGAAGAAGAGGTGTCTTTAGGGGGTTGTTTTACTTCTCTTTGTCTTCCTCTATCTGTCAGTAATGAATTCACTTGGTAACTTCAAGTTGAGCTTGTTTTGCCCTTGGAGCGATGTTTGTTCCCAGTTGCTTATATYGACTCATGAACCCTCTTTAGCTAATTTGTTTCACTGCTCAGATTCTTAAATGCACAAAAGTAAGTCAACTATGGATTAATAAATTAATTGCTGAGTTGTAAAATTACTAAAAAGCAATACTTTAACTTGTACTCTGATATGAGGTTTTCTGATTTATTAGCGTCCCCCTAATAGTTWAAAATTATCTACTAGTCTTTGGAATGTCTCTGAACTGTGTTCTTGTATTAAGCTACTTTGTGTTATCTTCATGACACCAAGTATTTATTGGGTCCTACAGAGGTAACTGTGACATCCTAAATGGACACTAATAGGATGATGAAGTTCATCTGGAATTAGGGTTTTATCTTTCTTGTCAAACATGAGATTTAGCAAGTTTGAGATAGAAGACCTTTCTCTAGTAAATATTTCCTTTCCATTTAAAGAAGAGTGACTGCTCTTGATTCCTGATGCAAACCCCCCCTGCAGACCCCCTCCCCAGCCATCAGAAACTTGCTGTGTAAATTATGAATAGGCTGAAGAAATCTTTCTTCTTAAAGAAATTGCAGTTATCAGTTTCAGATTGACTCATCTTCTAAGGGACTTCAGAAGTTCTATATGATCAGAGGGCACAAAATAGTTTTATTTTATCTTGCAGAATGGAACCGACTTTGGATAATGAGAAATTTTACAGACCATCCTATATTGCAAGCATTGAGCCATCTCCAAGAGCAGGACCAGTAAGCGTGGAAGATATTAAAGCAGATCTCTCCTCTGAATTTTCTTTGGTCGATTCAAGCTCAGACACGAGCCAGGTAAAGAAAACTTTACTGTTTGAATACTTAATTTTTAAAACACAAACATAGTCCTTTCATAGATAAGAATACTCAGATGAAAAGCTTCTTTGTTTCTTTTTAGTTTGAAAGAGATGCCTAGGATTTAGACTAAGTTGTGTGGCACTGCATAGATGCCCATTAGGGTACATCAGATTTTGTGAATGAGGAGCACTGCCAGTTCATGGAATGTTTTCATTGGCCTGAATGCAATGTTTACATATATGTGCTGCAAGATTACCTTAGTACAGCAGACTTGTGCAGGGATCTAAGYACTTGTGAAAACTGGCATAGTGAATGAGTTTTGATTCTCATGTTATCAAAGCAGTCTGTTCAAAACAGCCTGATGAAATAAAATTGCTTTAACATGCCAGTTATCAAGAAAAGAACCAAATTTCTAACTGTTTCAATTTTTTTTTTTAAGAGGAGCAKTTTGGAGTCTAAGGGACACATACAAGTTTGCCTCCGTATCAGGCCATTTACAGCATTGGAAAGAGAAAATGGATCACAGGTGTGACATTTATTTAGTTTCAAATTGCTTAAATTTTATTCTGTGGGGCTTTTTGTTTGTTTTCCCTGTAAGTGGAGCTCTTTGTTGTCTCTTCATGCCYGTGTTGCTTGTTTCCTTTTAATAGGACTGTGTTTCACTTGAAGACTCAACAAATATTGTACTGAAGCCCCCCCAACACTATTTGAGTCGACTAAGTGAAAAGACTGCGGGACAGATGTTACAGAAGTTCACTTTTTCTCAAGTAAATTAGTTGTCTTTAAAAGTTTTTAATTTATTTATGGTACAGGTTGTTTGAACTTRTATTATTTAATACTAAGCAAACTAGATTTTTTAAACTTAATAATCTTTAAGATTATAAACAAACAGAATTTAAAAGATTCTTTAAAAGTCTCTAATAATTGCTCAAAGAATAAATATTTCTCGGTAATACTCAGGTGTTTGGACCTGAAACAACCCAAGAAGAATTCTTTGARGGTACCATGAAGCAACCAGTGCAAGATTTCCTAGATGGATATAATCGTCTTGTTTTTACATATGGTGTTACGAATGCTGGGAAAACGTACACTTTCCAAGGTATAAATAGAAATTAATTCTTCTTGAAAGCACTTCTTCCTTGTTGCTTCTTGTTTTAAAGTAAGGATTACTTCTATCAGAAACAAAATTTCTTSCTTCTTTTAAACTGTAGTCTCTTTRCGTTTGCTTSCTTTAATATTAAARTCTGTAAAAGTTTCCTTCCATAACAAGTTTGAGTGCCAACAGAGTAACTACAGAGTTAACATAAGCACGTGGTCATATGAGTTTGTAAGACACTATAATTTCAACTAGGYGTGTGATCCTTCTATTTTTCTCCAAGTATGTGGTATGCCAGGGATTAGGGGGAGTTGGAAAAAGTACATGTTCTATATAACAGAATTTGAAAAATATGAGTCACTCTACCCCAGATTAGCGTTTTCTTGAGCTTTATGATTATTATTATTATTATTATTATTAGAAAGGTTCTATGCAACCTATGTATACAAAAAAAAATTGAGTGTTTCAGTTATCATAGGCAGAGAACAAATGTTTTGAAACCTATTTAATTATTTTCATGTATTTCTATCTTGTCTTGGGTTCCTGAGCTTAATAATATCCTAAGAAGCCATGTCTCCCTGTGCACTGTTTCTCTTCTGCTAAAGCTCCATATCCTTTCTGGTCAGAAGATGTCCTCCTTCAGTTATTTTTCAAAGTGTTGTAACAAATGAAGTGATCTGATTCACATGGAAACAATTTCTCCTAWAATGAAATGGCAGATCTGGATTCTATATCACTGATTTTATACAAAGAAATAGTAGAGGGATAAGGAGTTGTGTATCGCATGAAACTGATCTTTATTGAAGTGAAATTATTTTTCTAAGTAACCTTCTGTTAGGTGGATTATGATTAAAGACTACTGASAGTACTTTCAGTTATCGTTTCTCTGGAGTAATAATGTGATACTCTTTTCTGTCCTATTAAGTAAAGGTAAATGATAAAAACTCAGTAATTCCTGAAGTGTASAGTCCCCAGAGCTTGACTACTTTGGGGTATATTATGTGGAGTTTGAAGAATCTTTGGTTGACATCTTTTTGACTAGAAACTTTTTCATAGTATTATGTTTTTAGTACTTTAAAAATTGGCAGGGCAGAATATTGCCTACTGGGTGCTGTGATTTCTTCTTCTGTTATTGCACTTGTTATTGCACTTTAACATTACATGGGAGCCTGTATTCAGTCAATGGTGAAGGACCTAAGTGAAGGATGAAGCAGAATTTGAGGGCTGTTCCTTGTTCACCAGTGACTGCTACTTTGTGTTAGGTTGAATTACAACTGGCATTGTAATAAACACAAAAAAAATTAGGAGATGAAGAGAAACAAATGTAATGCAAGAATACTTTAACTTACTATGGTATTTGGCTTCTATCTTGGGGTTTGAGTGCCAACCAAATACTGTATACTATAGTGACTTTAGGTGACACAGCTAGTGCTATGACTATTAAATGTCCATCTGTCTYAAAAGCAGGAGAAATTACCAGACTCAGATAGGGCAGTAGTTCCACTTCCACTCTTCCCTTTTCTCTGGTTTAGAGATCAAAAGTAAGTGAATTCCTATTGAACTTGTATTTGGATTCAGAAACATCAGGTGTGCACTGAGGCTTTTATTTGCCTGTGTTTTTTAGGTACAAAAGGAGTATATATATTCTGAGAAAAGAGTCTGGGRCAGGGAAGGGAGTGAGCCTTCCCAAGGTTTCTAGAAATTTTTTTGGGGATTCCATGGAATTAGTACAAGACTGCGGCTGAGAGATCAGTCGAGATTTATTTCAAGATTACTTCCTTAAGAGAGGGAAGGCAGCCTATGAAATACTATTTAAAAATTGCAAATCTTTAACTAATGTCTGWTGGTTGTGGGAGTTTTTTGTTTTCCCTTAAGGCTAAGCTTATGTAAAATAGTGCTTTTTGTTTTATGTTATACCGATTATTGATATAGAGCATGAACTGTTCCTGAAAGCCAAATACTTTTCAGAGCTCTCTATAATTATATTTCTGTCACTTTGGAAATACAACATAAAACAGTGGAGGTTTTTTTAAGTTGTCTCCAAACTCTTCATCTATGCCTTGAGATTTCTATTAGTTTTCTGTCCTCATTTATCTGTTTACCTTGTAATAATTTTGTATGTTTATTCAGGGGAATAAACTTYATTTTGTACGTTCTTTCAGGGACAGAAGATGATGTTGGTATTCTGCCAAGGACAATGGATATGTTGTTTAAAAGTATTCAAGGAAAACTGTACACAGCAATGGATCTTAAACCCTATCGGTGTAGAGATTATATAAAGCTGWCTGAAAACCAAGTGAGAGAAGAAGCTGCTATTAAAAATTCACTACTTCGTCTAATAAAAGAGGTAGAGGAGCACTTCTTTATATGTTAATGAGTGCATGCATTTTTACATAGCTCCATGTCCTTCATTTATCAGTGGGAAGAGACTTTTTAACCATGGATGTGTCTGTTTGCTGTCTGCCAGCTGTTCAGATTAGCAATAAAGTGAGCAATAGAGCTGATGAAACTTTCTGGGGATTTTTGTCTTGTGGCTGAATACTTCATGGGTGTGTAAACTCTAAGGTTTGTTTTGTTTTGKTTTKTTTTTACTGTAGCTTGGGCACCTGATAATTTATCCTGTGGGATTACTAGTGCCTAAATAAGAAATGAATGTAAATAGCCCCCTCTCTATTTGTGGGGATGCTAATAGGTCTGATGCTTTAAAGAATGTAGTGTTCGTAGAAGCGCGGGCCAGCTGCAGCCACATCCTGACCTTGAGGACAGCTCTATGTAGAAGCAGCTGACCTTGATAAGAGCTCTCTGTTCTGTTGGCAAAGGTCATCCTAAAGGATTGACTCCAGCCATAAAGACTCATGTGTGAATGTTTTCTTCTACCACCCAGAACACGGGGAGGTGATGTTTGTGTTAATGACCAGCTACAGGGCAGGAATGCCTGCTCTGCAGATGCTTGGTCTGATATGGCTGTTTTATCTCTCCTGCTGTGCTTTCCCAACACTTTCCCTAAAACTTTCACAYAGAAGCAACATAAATACTGGAGTGTGTAATAAAGATGGATCCTGCCTTAACAGAGCAGAGGTCTGTATTTGTTTTTTTCCAAGCKGCTGCACTGTCTTTYAGRATACTTGAAATAAGTTAATACTGCTGAGATTGCTGCCCTCTTTCAGTTGGACAAATATCCTTAAAGGAAGCAAAAATATGTTTCAAGCAACAGAATTATAAAGCTAGTGGACTTAAAGGTTTGAATTAAAGATGTGTTTTTGCTGGACTTATTTCTTACAGCTCACTGTTGAGCGGTCCAGAAATACWTTCCAGTTTTAGGAATTGACTTAATTTCTAAAGCTGTTTAGGTCAATTATAGTTATGGGGGATTTGTATTTTGTATAACGATACCTTTTTTCTTGGTTTCTTCTAATTCTGAAATGAGTTTAATAATGTAAAATACAATTGATCATGTGCTAGGATTTGAAACTAGAAGGGTATTACTTTGCTGCTTTTTTTGTTTTTAACAAAAAGAATTAATTATTTCCCTTATGATATGCTAGGTTGCAATAGCTATTGTTGAAAGGAAAGTCAGTTATCTGTTACCTCGATTTTTATCCATTAGTTAACTGGGCTCTAGTGTGGAAGGTAGGTGGCAGCAAAATTCTGCGACTTCACTTCAGAAGCACAGGACTAAGTTAAATCTAGCTCTGTCAGCCTTCAGAAAGGATTTCAGAAAAACCTTTCATGTGTATTTGAACACRCATATATGTCCTCTCTAGTTTCTAAAGCTGTTTATAAGAAGAACATGTAAGCTTGTAAATTTGCTGGCAAAGTTTGCATCTACTGCAGCAGTGGTTTAGGTGCGTTTTGTATATATAAAGCCTAATACCTCAAATTTTGATTATGTAAGTATTTCAGGTGCACTTTATGGAATCCCAGCTTTATGTGAAATATGCTCTTGACAAAACATTTAAATACCTGAACCAAAGCACACCTGTTTTTTATTTCATGTTATTTCTCTTAAGCATACTTATTTTAATAAATAGATTTCCGTACTTTAGGCACTTCTGCTTGCAGTTCTGTGTCTGAAAAAACCTAACTAACCAAAACTAAGGCTGGGAAGGGATTGTGTGTGTATGAAGCTCCTAAGCTCTAGCTATAGGTATTCGGTTTACTTTTATTTAATAGTTCAGCGGAAGAAAAGTGTCTTTCTCTTAGTAAAACCTAGACTTTATTTCAATTATATAATTTACTTCAAGCATATAGCATGAAGCARTAAGTTGCTCATTTCAGTTTAAGTGAATGAGGATTCCACATTTACTTCTGTTTCTGAGAGTTGGCCTAGTAGGCTGTGAAAGCATGAAATCCAATATTAGCAAAATACCAATAATAAAAAAACTCAGAGCTCCCTGGATTTACTAGGTTAAGACTAATGTGTAAGCTTCAACTGGACTCCTGCAAATTATCCTGTTGAATCATCCTGTTGCTGTGTGGGCTCCCATCTCTCTAGTTTTCTGTGGTTAGACTGCTTCCTAGTCAGTGATATGAACTGCTCTATACTGATGGAAGGGAAGTGGCAGGGGTGAGTATTGAGGAAAGAACAGCCCTGTCAATAGCACTGTRCGGGTGCATTGAATTAGATACGGTTTTTGTAGCCAGGATCTTTCCACTGGCATATTGCAACCATGGTAGTTTCACATATAGTAATACAGCAGAGCTGTTAAAAATAACTTGTACTGTCAATGATGYATTTTAAAATTTGTTTTCTTTTGTAGGTAGACCACCAGATTAGCAACAAAGCACCTACAGATTTTAAGGGTATGTTTTATATGAAAGCTGGCAAAGAAGCTTTCTTAAGGTCAATAACTGACTTCTGGCCTATGATAATAAAATTACTATTTTTCAATTTTATATGCCTGTGTATTAGATAGTGAGCAAGTAATTYGGGCAGAAAACCCAAGGATAAAATGGTTACAAGAATAACTGAACAGGTAATAAATGAGCTGAAGTTACAGCAAAGAATAGTACTACTTAATGCTACAGGTCCTAGTGGTATCGTGACAAGCTTGAGTACCTGTATGTAATTATATAAAGTTAATTCTAGCAATCTAAAAAAACTACCTAAATGCTAGGTTTGCTTTTAAAAGTAAAAATCAAGTGTCTTGTCAGTTTAATTCTGTCTTCTAAAGATAGTGAAGAGACTTGGCTAATTGTGACCAAGCTGTATGTTTCTGATAGAATTTAAAAGTGGAAAAGAAAGCAGTAGAGTGTCTCTTGCAAATATGTAAGTTGAGCATGTGACTTGCAGACATTTAAGAAAGAGGGTGGGCATATTAATGGACTTTTGTATGTGTTAAGTGGTTTTAGAAGGTTCCTGTAGTAGCAATTTTCACTTACTGCTTTTTAGTAAAACTCACTTTACTAGGTCTATAGTGGCTTGTAATATTTTTTATTTGGCAGATTTGGAAGATATTTCAGAAGACTCAGAACAAGCTATCRCAACTGCAAGAAATTACATCAAGTTTTCTGTTTGGGTTTCATTTTTTGAGATTTAYAATGAATGTTTTTATGATCTACTGATTCCTGTGTCAAATGACAAGAARAGAAAAACACTGCGCCTTGCTCAAGACATCAAGGGATGTTCTTTTGTAAAAGGTGAGTAGAATACAGTGCAAATTGCCAAATGTAATTTGAAACGTTGTTCTACCTGTAACAACGYTTAGATTAGAAAGCTCAAAATAATGACAAAATGTTTGGAGTAGACCACTTATAGTTGCATTCACTGAGGCACTGTAAATGTCTACCTCGAGTGTGAAAGGCAACAGTCTGCATACATAGAAGTATCTATACCTTTACTACTTTTTTGTCTTTACTCCTGACTGTGACTGTTAAAAGCTTCTGCACTCCACTGCCTTGATGATTYTTTGAAATGGGCAAAATATTGGAAACAATTTACAAATTTGTTAGTGGCTTTCTTAAAAACTGACCCCAATAGTTCTTAACTGTATTTAYAATTAGCTCAACAGTTTTTAAAATTTTTGTTTCTGAGGCTTTTTTCAGTATTTTCTGTAAAGAAGCAGACTTGACATATGCTCATCATATTGCAGACAAAATTCTTCTGATCTTTTTTAGTTAGGTTGATGGCCCTGAAATATATCCATATGACTTCCCCTCTGTCCCTTTTCCCTCCCCCCTGACTGTGGTATAAAATAAAGAAATGGTCCASGTGGAGTTCTGCCTTGCTGAATATGAGTGTAGAGTTTTCCACTGCTATTAGACCTTTTTGATTTTTTTTTTCAGTGCTCAGGCTAAGTTTGCTCATTTAATTTGAGCAGAATATAYTTATCATGGTAATAGAATGGTGAAATGATGGGATGTACTTGTCCTTCCTTTCTTAGGAGAGGAGGCATTTTGATCTGATTTGTCATCATGTAACTTCTGTCTGAAGCAGATGTAGTAAAATGTTTCTATGCCTCAAATAAATGTAATGTCCTTGCTGTGCATGCATTATCCCCTTAATACTTACTTTGGTAATGTTACCTAAAAAATATCTTATTTTTTCTTCCTGAAGATCTGCAGTGGGTTCAGATTTCTGACGCTAAAGAAGCTTTTAGACTTCTAAAAGTGGGCTTAAAACACCAGAGTATTGCAAGCACGAAACTAAATAATTGCTCCAGCAGAAGGTAAGAGGCATTTTGAATAAGACTAGGCATAGGATGATGTGTGGGAGGAAGGAGAAACTAAAATATGGCTTGTGGTTTTTAGGAAGGGAAGAGGCTTTAACAAGGTCTAGATTTTTAGCTTTCAGTCTTGGTGTCCTTTASCATGACACAGTGTTTTAAGCCAAAGGGATTCAATCCTTCAAATACRATGAACATGTACAAAAGCTAACACTAATTAATCAAATACGATAAAAAAGCACTTAACTTTTTTCCATCTAAATGTCTGAGGAAAAAGCAAAATCYGTGCTACATAAGCATCTCTTTAAAAGTCTGCATCTGATTGTATATGYTTAGATATGTTGACAGGTCCAGCAGCATTTTGAATAGATATTGTGGAGGCTAAATGTTTTTGAAAGTATTGATCTACTTTATCACTTCTCTGCTGATTTCAATTTCTTGTTTTAGTCACAGCATATTCACAGTTAAAGTACTAAAAATTGAAGATTCMGGAACACCAAGGGTGACCCGAGTCAATGAGTAAGTTCACAACAGTCTGTCTTTTGTGATGAAGTTGTCAAATATCTTCCATGTTGATGGATAGGTACTGCACCTGGTGCTCACTGGCAGAACCTTTTGCATGTATGGTGGCTCCCCACTTCTACCCTCATAKGGTACTTGGCCCTCTCCCTCARGCCATCAAGATGCAATGCTGTTCTYTGTCTTGTCACCTCTGCTCAGCACAAGGTCCTGACAGACCTCTTTACTCCTGAACTCGTGCAAGTCCCCAGAAGGAAGAGGATGGAGAGGTGGGTGGAGTGGAAAGGAAGCATGTAGGGAAAATATTTACCAGAAAATTGTGGGAAATTTGACTAGGGCGGCAAACTTGAAAAGGATGAGGAGAAGTGATAATTTTTAAAACTGAATAGTTTGTTCATCTTTAAGGTAAATACAGTGACTTTTTCTTGTCTGCTTTCAGATTATCACTGTGTGATCTTGCTGGTTCTGAAAGATATACCAAGACCCGCAATGAGGGTGAAAGACTGAAAGAGAGTGGAAATATAAATACCTCTCTCCTGACTCTAGGCAAGTGTATTAATGCACTCAAGAACTGTCAGCAGTCAAAGTAAGTCCTTTCATGAATTGTCAACTGGTYGTGTTTTTAGGTATTGCCTACAATGTTTGAAAGCTGTTGTTTAAAATATACAATATTAACACTTAAATTTTTTGGTAGAAAAAATGTATATACTTCTGAAGTCTATACTATAGTGTTATTGTAGTTTGTCCCAAATTATGTTTCAACTTGTCTTGTTTTGCTTTTTAATTGAATTATTTTAATATGCTGTTAAAGATTTTAGTAATTTACTTTCTTGTTCTGAGTTTGGCTTATCAAACAAACTTTGGAATAAATTTAAATCACCCTTGTCACTAGTGTTATAGTACAAATGAAATTTAAAATCTTCATGGTGGATAGTGCTTATACTGACTGGAATTTAGTAAACTTCTGATTGTCTGCTCTTTTGTCTTATAAAGGCTTCAGCAGCACATACCCTTTCGGGAAAGTAAGTTAACTCACTTCCTTCAAGGATTCTTCAGTGGAAAGGGGAAGGTGTACATGATAGTAAAYATAAGCAAATGTGCTTCAGCATATGAGGAAACACTGAATGTGCTAAAATTCTCAGCCATTGCACAAAAAGTAAGTGTGTTGTAGTTTGTCTTGTTGATCAGTAACTTTGATTTGCTTAAAGAGCAGATTCTCCCACTTTTAAGAGTATGAATTTAGTTACTTGATTTTTCTGTCTTGTGTTGCAATCATGTTTCTMACTACATGGGGTTGAGCTTTATCTCCTAGAGCTTTTAAAAAGGCTTTATTGGGACATGTTTTTTTTTTTGCCTTGGAGTGTGGAGCTGGAAGCATCTACAGCCTAATAAGACACTTAGTTTGTGGAATAAGACACTTACATTTGGAAGAAATTCCCTGAGATCTAGGTAAATTTATTCTGTAGATACAATGTGCTCTCACTTCTAGCTGACCTATATACTACTGCTATCTTAGAATATTGCTCATCTGTGTCCCAAATGAGTGTGCTTGAGATTACCCAAAACATCATTGACAAGGGTAAGAGTGAGAGTCAGATTTAATATTAAACCATRAAGCACAACAGATTCATTGGCAAGTTTCACCCTACTTAAAAAGGACAGCTAAAGCACAATGAGGGAAAGCGAGTGACAACAAAACCAAACAAAATCCAGTCCGTCAAAACAGAAATGAATTCAAGATGACCTAGGTGGGTGTGTCTGTGTGTGTGGACAGTGTAGACCAGGATGAAAAGGAATATGGCCTAAAGCTTAGCAACACTTAATCTTAGCAGTATTTACCTTGTACCTGTGCCCTGCTCAGGAGACCTRTAGCAGCAGGTCTTCAAAGTGCCAATGGAGCTTTAACAAATACCAATAACTTTTTGTTCTTTATTTTTTGGGTAGGTTTTTGTTATGGACACATCTATTCTTCCCCAAGATCAGTCATTTGGCCAGAAGGTGGCAGGAGAATCATCACTCCTTAATGTCACTAGAATGCCAATCCCAAGGAAGCGAACTACTATCCTATGGGACAGACCCTTAGAAGATGTGTTTGAAGATGATGATGATGATGATGATGCAATGGAGGAACAGCCCAGCACATCAAGAGAAGAAACAGTGCGGGAAAGTGAAGGATATGAAGTTGTTATTGCAAAAGAAAAATACATGGTATGTGCTAAGGCTACTTTAAGAATTAGTATAACATGGAGCCTTGAAGCAATGTATTCTTCTGGTTTCCTCCATCTCACCCTTTTTTCCCCCTTTTTGATTTTCTTGCACTCCTCAGCATCCTTATTCTTCCGAAATCCGGAACTACAAGCRGGATTAGTTATGACTTTGTGCTTACTGTGGGAAAAATATGAAATGTGTTAAAGCAAACTTAACAGTAAGAATTGCAGATTTGGCTTCCTTTTCTTTTGGTATCCTGTGGTCAATACAGAAAATATTAGCTGTTTTTTAACAGCTAATGTTCCTGTGTTATACACAAGAAAACTGTGGACATTGTTCTTTAAGAAACAGCAGTTTTAGTCACTCCTGGGAAAGACAAGAAGGGAACAGAGCACTAGAGACCATTTTGTGGAGGCTCCATTAATACCCAGAAAGGGCCATCTGGAAAAAAAAGGCCAAATTCTATGGATCTTAAGATTATCTTTAAAGCTGACTTCAAGAATTTTTGTTATAAACTTGGTGTTCTTTGGAAATACCCCCTCTGTGCAAACCTAAATTGTTGTGTTAGTCCCAAACAGGTAGCTCAATCTAATCCTTAAACTTCCTGTTTATAAATGAGCTAATAAAAGAACTTGMAAAACTGTTGCCAGCTGCTGGGTAAAGTGTTGTGGAGTTTGAGGGTGGTGGTGCGTCCCTCCCCTCTCAGGCTGCTCTATGATCTGAGAAATGCYTGTTAGGCCTTGTCCTTGAAAACACCACCTGGGCTTAGCTCTTTTGAGGTTATCAGAAACACTGTCAGCTCCCAGGAGCTCCTAACAAACTTCTGTTTTCTTCATGGGAAAAATCTTACTTTATGAGAAGTGTAATACTAATTGTGATTCTAGAGGCTGCTAAATCTCATAGAAGAGCTGAGGAATAGACTTGTTACTGAAAAGAAAAACAAGTTACTGCTGGAAATGAAAATTCGTGAAGAAGTGATAGAAGAATTGGCCCATTATTTTGCTGAGCGGGAAACTGATTTCAAGTAAGCTGGGTTTAAGTGGTTTTAAAGTTACTGGTTACAAAAGTGATAGTAAATTTACTTATTTCTTAAATCTCTCTTGGTTGTAAGAGATCACAGTCTTCTGCTAGAGCTGATCTTCTGCTATGTCTGGTAATGTGCTGGTTTCTGTTTTGTTTATGAGCTCAGGAAAAATGCTCTGTAAGAACAGGCTTTGATTTTTCTGTGGAATGGGTAGGAATGTGTGTGTATAATATGTAAGCAGTGTTTGTTCCTTTAGAGCTCTTTCTTAGGAAAGAGCTTTGTTGCCTGTGAAGTGGCATTTGCAAATTCTTTGGTTCCTTTTTTGTTTTAGTGCTACTCCTAACATTTATTGTCTCAAGCAGCTTAGAAACAATGCTTGTTGTTAGGTGCTATCCATAATCTGTATTTGGTTCCCTCTTGTTCTTCCTGCATGTGTGAAATACACTCCTGGTTTAAGGTAGCAGCATTGTTCTGTGTATTGTTTTGTTGTGCCAAAATAAAGAAGAAAGYATTTTTGTTTATAGCCAACTGTGCTAATAACATTTTAGCCTATCTCATGGCTAGCATTTAGCTGACTTAATTTTTTCTATTCTAGAGAGTGCCTTTCTCACGAACGAGCACAGCATGAAGAAAATTCTGAAAAACGCCTGGAAATCTTCAAGGAACTTGTAAAGAGTTACACTAAAAATGCAGATGAAAAATGTGATTTACAAGATCAGCCTCGCAGTGAGCAAGCTGGACTTCTGGTATTTTTATCTGTCCCAAATGTCCCTTTTACTAACTATGTGTWATGGTCATGGTATTTCTCAAGAGTTAGAAGAATTGTTTCAAGGAATTGCACTCAATGTAATGAACGATATGTTTATTTCATTTAATAGATAAGGTTTCTGAGTCTTAGGATTCAGGAATTTTGGGGTTTTTTTGCATTTCTCCAGCATAAAGTGGCAATTATTCTGTACAAAGAAATTGAGGTGAAATCTACARTTTTTTATTATATAAAATCCATTGTTTAGTGCCTATTTAAAATCTTTGAGGCTGACATCTTGGGCCCCATGAGAGTGCTGGAGCAGTCACAAAGACTTCTCTTAGGGCAGTTGTAGCTACAACTGAAGCAATAGAGAATTATTCATCCACTAAAGCCATAACTAGACTCTTGAGTCTGTCTCTTGAGACATCGTTTGTTTTTGAAAAACAGAGGGAAGATATAAAGTCAGTCTTTTGAGTATAGCTTAGTATGGTAAGTTGCCACTTATTTGACTTCACAAGCTTTTCCTGTTATGTGAAAATTTTAAATGTATTCTTTCTAAAACTGTTTGCTTGCTGTGTTCATTCAATATTCTCATTGGTTTAAAATATGCTAGCTTTTATAGTAAGCTTGGAGGGGCTGTTTTTGTGGAGATATAAGGGGGAGTGTAATGGTGAGTCATTAAATGTTATAAAAATAAATAGGTCTAGATTGATACTGGAGACTGATGTGTGAAGGTAGACAGAAACTGGCAATCAGTGCATACGAGCCCGCGAGATGGTTTTGAAGTCGGAATTTACTGCACTTATATATTAGAATTCCTAACAATCTCCCATATTTTCTGTAGCAATAATGGCTTTTGTGTAATTATTTGCCATTTCTAAATGAATGTAAATTATCTTTCAGAAAGAAGAAAACAGCATAGATACAGGTGCCTACATTAATTTTGAGGGTGTTATTGATTCTCTGCAAGATGATATCACTGATATCAAAAATCAGGCRGAAGCAGCACACCAGTACATTGTTTCCCTGGAGGACCCACAGGAAACTATAGATTGTCTTGAAAAACAGCTGGCAAAAGTAACTGCTGAACTAGTTGAGACCAAGGAAGAACTGGAAAAGAAAACCAAAGGTAAGCTGGGTCTGCGTGATGTGAAAGACACAAAGACATGACTGAGTACTGTAAAATAGAAATAATAATCTAGTTGAGCAGGAGAGTGTAACCAAATCATATGTATAATGGTGGTAATCAATTGTTTCGTGTATGTTCAGGTTAAACGATTCTACAGGCCTAAGCTCTGCCTTGCTGTAGGTGCAGTACTCACAAGAATCCCCAGGATCTCCCAGTAGTACATAGTTGTGATGGCCTAATCCTTTAATAGTAAAATACAGCATGCATGTTACTAAAGGGACTTGATTGGATTCTGAAACACTAGGGTGACGTGCAGCTGGAGTCTGTTTTGAAAGTGATTAAATTTAGCTAGAATGGCTCATTACTTTGAGGAAACCATCTTAAGCTAATAAAAGATGGAAATTTTGGGTTAGGATGACATGTAAAACTTTTTTGGAGAACTTTACATGCAACATATTACATGTGGGCATTMATAGCTACCCTTTTACTTTGTTTAGAAACCTATTGAATACAGAAGAGAGGAAGGTTCCAAACACAAAGCAAAAGAACTCCATGTGCTGGATTTTTAGCTTTGCTTTTAAAGTGAGGCGATATAGAATGTGCATAWAATTTGTTAGACACAGTTGCTCCTCTAAATGTAGGATAGGTATTTGCTGGCTCTATTTAGAGGGATTGTTGAATCGGTGGAGGTGGAAACCGGATATCACTGTGTGTGTTACCTAGCTCATAGGTGTAAAAAATGCTAATAAAATTAGCTAGTTTTTTCTGCTAGTGGTGCAGAAGAGAAGATTGGAATAGAGCTGTGGCAAACTTTTTTAAGTCTTCTGAACAGCTCTATCTGCAAATTATACCCAGAAGGCCAAGAGACATTTATTGCACATGTAACAACTAAGAGGGTATTAACTACTTCAAGACTCCAAAATTCTGTGAGGATGTGGCTTTTCAGTGGTGAAAGCCATCTAAAAGCCACMCCCTCATATAATTTTTGACAGCAATTTGGTGTTGCTAGTGACTCGTCAATTTTRATTAACTTGAGCTATATGGGGATTTGTTTGTTCTTGATGTTGTTTTGGTTTTGTTTTTAGGAGATAAGAGAGARAGTTCGGAAAATTACTCTTTTGATCCAAAGAGACCTAAGAATTCTGAGACCTACATGGAAATACTAGCACTGAAGGAAAGAACTGAAACCTTGGAAGGTSAAATAGCTACACTSGAAGAACAATGCCARAGAGAAAAAAATGAAAAAGAAGMGTTAAATCAGCAGATAGCAAGCTTRCATCTTAAGCTCTCTGCTTCTGAAGAAAAGGCTTCTGGCTTAAGTGGAGAACTTCAGCAATGTCGAGCTGAATATCAGGAGACTCTTTCTGAATTGGACAATCAAAAAACTATAAATAGGGAACAGGAAGAAAAGATTTTTGAACTAAATAACAAAGTAACAGGTGCTAAACACAATATAATTGATGAAATGTCACAAATTAAAACAATGCAGTCCCAGGTAGATGATTTGTATAAATGTCACTCAGAATCTTACACTATGGATGTAGATTTAGTTCATGTGAAGGATTCATTAGGCCCTCAAAAAGATGAACCAGAGACAGTTGAAATGAGTCCTCCATCCACGCAACACCAAACTGYTTCTACAGAAGATCTGAGACAGGAGAGCTCCTTTCACTGCAGCGTTGAAAACATTTGGGAAGAATGTAAAATTATGATTAAGGCTTCTTCACAAAAAAGTTATCGGATTCAACAACTACTTCAACAAGTCGAAGACTTAGAGAAGAGACTTCATGATAGTGAGAATTACAATAATCAACTAAAAATAAAATTAGATGAGATTACAAATCAAGATCAGCAGTCTGTAAAGGAAAAAGATCTTATGAATCAGTTACAAGAGCAAATCCAGAAGAAAACCCAGGATTTTGAAAAACAGGCTGCAGAAGATCAGAGAGTAATTGCACAGTTTCAAGACAAAGTTACCAGCTATGAGGGAAAAATAAGAGATCTTGAATGCCTGTTGGAGGCTTTTAGGACTAAAGATGACAGCATGAAAGARTTAGAAAAAGAACTAAAAGAAAAAGAATCTATAATCTTAACTCTAGAAAGTAATACTGTAGTTCTGCAGGAGAAATGTACCAGTTTAGACAAAAAACTGAAAGAACTGTATGATCAAGAAGCAAATCTGAAGGCTGAAGTTTTGCARTTGATGAGCAGTTTGGAGACCACAAAACACATTCTTCAAGAAAAAGAGAAAAATGAATTTGAGCAAATACAGTCCATAGAACTGTAAGTGAATAATGAGATTTACTCCTAACCCTTTGAGAATAAAATTAAGTTAAAACTCCCTTATGTCAACATCAGTTTATTTTGCCATAACACATTTGCGTATTTATAAACTTGATTAACTAAACTTCTTCTTAGAGAAGTGTCAACACAATACTTGAATTTTATTTTAGCATATTCTGTTGGCTATGTTTTCCTCACCTATTTGTGTATTCTTTCAAAAATATACATGTAAATCATGTATAACTATTATACAGGGAAATGAGTGCATAMAATGAAATTAATTATTTGGGGATTGCTAATGGTTTTGTTGCAGGCCCTTTCTGAAAGAAATTACATAGTTTAATGTTATATCTGGTAACTTGTATAAAAGCAGGAAGTGTTTTCTTTGGAAAGGACTAAATTGCAAAAGCAAAGGAAGAAAGGGTGGGTAAAAAGCCCAGAGAGTAAACACATGGTTTTGGTAACAGCTATTCTAGGTGAACATAATCTATTCTAAGACTCAAAGGAATAATGGGTGTAGAGGGTAGAACTTGCCCAGAACACTGTATTTTTTAAATCTGGAAGAAATCCGAAATTACATTTATTTGAGAGATTATACTTCATATATGGTAAGAATTTTGCAAATACGTAAAAATAGCTTTTAAGATGCTATGTAGCCCTTCTCCTGACTCTGGTTTCTTTAGTGCCATATCTGTGGGTACTGCACATACTCCAAAGTACAATTTAGCATGGAGGTCTGATGATCCTCAGCCCTGTGCGGCGAGGCTTTGAAAGGACTTCCTTTTGTGAGGCCTTGTATTGTCGTTTATAGGATGTAAAAACCTTCCTTTAGTTAGTTTAAAAGTCCAATATGTCGTACTGGAAACTCTTTGAAAGAAATGTGGTCAGGCAAAAATGAACCCATGAAGCTTACTGTTKACTTTGCAAAACTTGTGAAGACAGGATTTATTTCAATGTTATTGATTTTACCATTTTTCTTTTTATCTATCTTGTTAYTTACAAGAACTGATTTGTAGTTAACAGCTTTAAACTTACTTGATATCAGCCCTAGGTTTTTCTAACTTGTAAGGTCACCTAATGATAAAAATGATTGCTCTACTGTGCTTAAAAAACATAATATTAAAAATATTTGAGTGTTCAGAAGTGAATATGAGCAGTTTGTTACTTCAGGCTTATATAATAAATATAAGCCAAATATAAATCCAAATATAAAATTTGTCACTGATATGATAGAGCTGAGATTCTATTTGCAAACAAAACCAGCAAAGAGCCTAAGTTTATGYGTAAGATTAATATTATTTATGTCTCTTAATTTCTAACCCAAGGCTACGTAAAGATCTTTCTGAGAGCTCTGACCTTGTACAAAGTTTGAAAAAAGATTTGCAGAGGAAAGAGGAAGAATACACAGATTTGAAAGAGAAATTTTCTGATGCCAAGAAACAAATTCAACAAGTACAAAAAGAGGTTGGTAACCATAGSCAAAAGGTTTCTTCCTCAGGTTTGGGCTTCTGTTATTAAAACCTGTTTTCACATTCTATGGATGTTAAGAGATTCATAGTAAGGCTATTTTGCATGATACATTTAGAGTATCTTCACTTGTGCACTACCAGTCCCTGAAATTAATGAAGATGCTTGCAAAAATTTGCCTCTTACCTAGAATACCAAGTACTTTAATTATTTATAGATATCATGAAAGGCTTATGACTAAATGTAAGTTTTGCTTGCTGYCTTCTTGCAGGTGTGTGCAATGCAAACTCAGGAGAAATCCCTGAGGAGACAAGTTGATGAACTTGAGAAAATTAAAAAGCAGTTTAGTGAAGAATTAGAGTTGAAACAGCGCACAATCCTGGAACTTAAAAAGGTATTTTGCTTTCTAAAATTTTGTTTGCTCTTATTTTTGTTAATTAATGTACTAATGATGCAAATTTTCCAAGCAGCTGGAGAAGGCATAGAGAAGCAGGGGTGAAAATAATACTGTCAGGCTGAAATTAGTTTTAACAGATGAATGAAAAATGTTTAAAGAAATTCTCATGCAGGACATTATTTAAAACAATTTGACAATCTGTCTAGTGAATGCTTACTTAATACCTTTACAGTTTCTGACACTTAGATATGTTAGTAGTAATGTCTCCTTGTTTTGTAAACAGCTGGAATGCTACCTTTATACTATATGAAGACCTTATTCTTCATATAGTGTTCTATCGGGACTATTTGTCTTWAGTACTTCATTCATTATTTATTAAATTCAAAATGAAAAGCTATAAATTTCTAGCATATGTATTTGTTTCTTTCAACATGATTTCTTTAATTTGCTTTCAATGTGATTTTTAGGAGCAGTTGAATAAAGAAAAGCTGGACGAAATCTCCAAACAGTATGAGAAAGCACATAAAGGTCAGAAAGAACCACCGTTTTTTTGTGTGTGTGGGCAATGTCAACATGTGTGGTCATGTCAATAATCAATTTGGAGAGTCTGGTATTTTAGAACACTGAGACATTCCAACCTGGACATTAAAATCTCAATCAGAAACTAATTTTCATTGAATTATTGTTAGACATATTTTTTAAGCAAAGCAACAGTCTCAGATTAAGAAACACAAGCCTTGGAGAAATTATTAGTGTAAMCTTATTAAATATTGGGATTTACTTGCTATTTTTGTCCATTTTAGCAAAAGCATGAACTAGCACAATATTGTGCATGCTAGCACAAAATTTCTGCAGATTATTGATAAACATTTAGCAGTTGAACAATGGTAAATTGCTCATAACCATACAAGCCAGAGTGACATTTAACTGAACTAAGTTGATGAGAATAGAATTGCTTAAGAATTTGGGATGTGGATTGTTCAGTAGAGATGCTCTATTTCCTTYTAATAGAGCTTTTGATCTCAGGGAATGGGGAAATAACTAGTAACTAAGGCACTTTGGGAGAGAAGGGTAGCAACTAGGAGGAGGCCCATCTGTAAATTGATTTTTAAATTTTCAGATCTGTGTGAAAAAGAAAAAATAATTGAAGATATGCGGATGACATTAGAAGAACAAGAACAGACTCAGATTGAACAAGATCAAGTTCTTGAAGCYAAATTAGAAGAGACCAACAGATTAGTTTTGGGTAATCTCTCCATGAAAAGGGAGCAGGGAAGCAAAATTGTTTTGAATGTATATTGTGACATCTGCTTTACATTTCTGGCTTTACTTGTCAATTGTTATTTAGGCATTACTTTCATATAACAATTAGCAGTTTCCTTAAAAGCTTCTGTTGTCTGTGATCATAGCTAATWAACTCAAGCAACTTTAGTAGAAGGATGTGAACATGTTCAAATACATGTTTAATATGATACATTACGTGAACTCATTTTGTGTTCTGACTAGAACTGGAAGCATGGAAGCAGAAATACAGAGAGCTGAATAACCAGTGCAATAGTGACTGGCAGCAAAAGATGAGCAAAAATGAGGAATTAATAAAGCTGCAAAAAGAACTGGAGGTAAWACATAATGATATAATTCATAATTAAATTTAAGGCCATAACTCCCATTTAGGAGTCTAAATTTTTTTGTGTGTCACTGTCTGCAAGAGCCATGGGGATGATATGGCAAATTATTACACTGGTAAAGGAAACCTCCTCTGAAATACCTTTTTCATTGGGCATCACTGATGCCCAGAGAGTGCACTGTGCCCAATGTTTTGCTCGTGCCATGCACAGTGCTTCTGTAACTTGTCTCCTCTTAATCAAACTCCCGATAGCAGTTCCAGAGATCTTTCCTGTCAGTTGCTAAAGCAAACTCTCTAGCCCTTGTGCTTGCTGCATGACCTGTAAGCCCTTCCTGTAAGGCTGAGGACTTCTAATTCTCCTTGGATTAGAAAGCAGACTTACTTTCTAAGCAGCTTTACAGGTGTTTCCTGTCTTAGGTGGTAGAATGTATGACAAGAGGTTTGATTGTGTTAAAAAAGGAGGCCAAATTGCTATGGATTGAAGTGACATTAGTAGGTACACGCTATCTCTCCTTCCATGCAAACTATGCTGCATTGTTTCCCTTTCAATCTTGAAGCAGAAGTTAGTTTTCTACCATGTCCTTTAAGGCAGCATAAAGGATTGGGGATTTGTGAAGTAGAAGTGTCTCTTTACCATTTCTTTTGTATAAGTTACATAGTGTCTGTGATAGACACAGGATGTTTTGACGAAAAAATTCTATTCCATGAAGAAGTGCCAGTCTGACCAAGAAGTGAYGAAAATGATTCATTTTTTTCATTGGAGAAGAACACATGAGAGTATAATACTTGTACCTGGGAGTATGCTAGAGTAAAACTGTGCTAGTGTTTCTGTTGTGTTTTTGAAATTAATCCATTCGACGATATTCTAAATGTTAAGGGTGTTTTTCTCTACTTATGGTTGTATTTCTGGTTTCATCAAAATAGGAAAATGAGGCAAAGCATCAAACTGATAGAAAAAGGTGGCTTGAGGAAACAACGGGCCTCMTAAATCAAGTAAAAGAAGCTGAGAATTGTCGCAACAGGGAAATGAGGAAGTTTGTGGAGTATAGAGAACGTCACGTAAAGCAGCAAGCAGAAATTGTAAGTGAGTTTTTGTGGCTCAGCAGAATCCTATAATGTCTTTAGTATAGAGTAAATCACTTGTCAAATAATGGACAGTCTGGGCACTTTAGAGTAGCTGGCCTTTGTTCCTTTCTCACATGACAAAAGCTAGATGAGATGCTAAGAGTAGGAGGATCATAAAACGAAATAAACTTTGTAGATAATGGAAGTTAACACACCTATTCCTTCCTGTCCTATCACTTCATTATAAAGTCTTCAAGTTTCATATTGTGTGTAAAACACCAATAAATAACCTACACTTAAATGAATTACTCCTTAATGAAGCTGAGTAAACTTACTTTGGAAAATAAGGTTTTCCTTAAAAAAACAAACAAAAAAACCTTGTGAGACTTTAGAAGGAAGAAGAAAGCACAAAGTTGATGGAAAAAGCATTTCTGAGGTAGGGAGTAAAAATACTTGGTCAACATGCTTTGGTAATATGTGCTAACATTGAAGAGACTGACAGTTTTTAACTGAGGCACCTTACTTGTTCACTGGACTGCATCAAGGTTGTAACTTTTTGATCAAATGGAATTATTATATGAATCTTTGCMATCTAAAACTGCATTTGCATCTAGAAGTAGTTAACAATGACTTTGTGAACATGCAATCACTCTAGGTGGATGTTAGAAGCTTATGACTCCTTTTACTTTATCTGTGACTTTTCTTGCCTGATAATTGTTATTAATAAAATCTTCAAGTGAGCAAACAGGAGTGGTGGTTCTCAAAAAGAAAATTCTCTTTGCAGAATGTATAAATATTGATTTTCTAATTGAAACAGAGCTTAATTTTACTTATTTGTACTGAAACTAGTTCTGTATGAGCTTTCTAAGATCTACATAAGCTCTTAAGTTTACTAAAGCTATAAAATAGTACTAACTGTGCAAAAAMCCCTAGAAGAGTTCAAATAYTGTGTAGAAGTGSTGTTCTGTTCTACCCTACCTTTTTWAATATTTAGGAAAGACTTGCTGCACAGCTGGTAGAGAAGGACAACAATCTTCAAAAGTGGCGTGAAGAAAGGGATGAACTAGTAGAAGCTTTGGAATTACAGCTCAAGACTTTGGCTTCTAGTGCCATACAAAAAGATAAAGAAATAGAAGAGCTGAAACARGCTGCACGAACAACTTCAGAAAAGGTTAATTCTTTCTTCTTTCTGTGATTTTTTGGGGGGGGGTTTTGTTATCCATCAGTTCTGCAAAATACTATAGTTCCTCTTTGCGTTCTGGCTTTATTTTGTGTTCAACACTGTCATGTTGAAATCACTTACAGCTTTTAAAAAGAAAAAGCTTACATTTGTTTGGAATTGAATTGTAATAATAACTGGAGTTTGAAAACATTTGGTAGTTCAAATAAACATTCTGCAAATTTGGACTGGATATCTGAAACAACCCTCTGATTTGTTGTTTTTTCACAGCACCAAGAACTTCATGAGCAAATGGAAGGTGAACTTTAAGTATAGTAAAATAAAAAGCTTTGAACTGTTTCCTCAGGCTCTTATAAGACTTTTCTTCACTTTTCATAGAGACATTATGTTATTGGATACCTGACTGGTTTAGCCTGCAGTTACAAAACTGATATGACCAAGTAATCATGATGATACTCGTGATATATATTACTTATTTTTGCCAGTCCTGAAACTTGTGGCAATTTTTGCTATGTTTATTAGGATAAGGAAACTGACGTAGAAGATCTAAGGAAACAGCTGGCAGAGAAAGATGACTTTATAAAAGAAATGAAACAGCAGCTTGATGAAGAAAATGTTCAGTCTTTGGMAGAAGAAGACAAGTCTTTACCTGAAGAAGGACAAGATAAAATTGATCAGTCTGTAATCCAAGAGGTATGTTTGTTTAGGGACTAATGATATGTTAATTCTGTTGGGGTTTTTTCAGTATATATTTCTGTATATAGTTCTGAAAGTCTCCCAAAACTTATTTGTGCTCTACCTGTATCTTCAGCTCTGACTTCTTATTCATTCTTTCACACTCACTGTCAGAAAATAAGTACTTATTTGATTAACTAATTACCTCTCTATACATCATAGAACCTTTACACCTGAGGCAAAAACTAGTTAACTAATCCAGGTTCTAGAGCTCTGGAGATGTATTTGTAGGGTCACCTTAGTTTGATTATGACAGTGTTGAAGGGGATTTCAACTCAAGCAATTTGCATGTCTCCTATTGTGTAGTGAGATGATTCTGGAATTGATTCAGCACATATGGGGGTTCATATGGACAAAACAKTATCTTGCATCCTACTAAAACTAAACCAGAACAATATTTAACAAAAATGGTTTTAGATAATAAGGGTTAAGCTCTGCTGTAGTTGAAGAAGATTTCTTCACTTCTGTTTTAAGTGGTCTGAAAGCTAACAGTTGGAAAATAGAATTACCCACTTTGCAATCTATTGGAGGAGGTGCTATGTATTAYATAGTAGTATTTAAGTCATAGTTACTATAAAACTTGTTTTCTTACCATTTCCATATACTTGCAGGACCATTCTGAAATTGTCCTTGACTCTACTGAAGTGTCCACAGAGGATGGAAAAACCAGTCGCTTYCCAAAACCAGAGATGGAAATCCAGTTCACACTTCTGCAGCCCAATAAGGTGGAGGTGAAGCACCAGGGCAGCACCTCACCAGTTACAGTTAAAATACCCAAGCCAAGAAGGAAAAGGAAGAGTGTAGAGATGAATGAGGTGTGAACTAGACCAACTTAYAAAATCTGTTGTGCAGCTTTACAAAGTATTACTCTGCTCATTTATCAAAACCCTAACTTCTGAATTTCTGATGAGATCCCAGGGATATATGTAGGGTATTATTTAAACTCTATGCCCCACAAGTGGTGGATCTCTGGSCTGTGTTGAATAAGGTCATAGACTTCAACTGATCCAGTCTCTGGCCCCTTGTCTCTGATTTGTATAATAAACATAAAAACCTTTTATGTTTTCCATTTTACAAATGCCATTTGTTCCTGTCTCCAGCTCTGATCTGTGGGATTACAAATCTGTTTTCTAAATTTGTTTCTTTCTGTTTAGGCAATCATTGGTATCAATTATAATTTCTTCTTTTTTTCTTAGGATTTTGTGAAAAGTGAGAAGAAGAGAAATGCAAAACCTGCTATGACCGATTCACCTTCTGTAAACAACAAAAATATGGTTTGTTTTTGTTCCATTTTTGAGATTAGTTTAGCTTTTTCTGTAAAAATGGGCTTGTGAAAATAGCAAATATTCTTATGCAGCAGTGTCTTATCCTTATCTGTGTACTTCAGTAGGATTCTTCAACATTTATGTTGTCTTTCTACTGAACTTTATAAGCTAAAGGGTCTGCATTTGCCAAGAACACGTGTAGTGTCCCTGCTGCTGTGTGCAGAGATTCAAAGGGGAAAGATGTTGCATATTGAGTAAAGGCTAGTTTGAGTATACTATTAGAATGTGATGTTATAGACAGTGCCTTTGAAGTAAAACTGAAGTTTATCTGTAGTTATGGCAATTGTTAAAAGATTATTTTAGGCCAAAAGATTATTTTAGTAGTAACCTGGGCAGGTTCAGAGGGTGAGGGGTTTATTTGCCCTGTCAGATTCCTTTTATTTATAATTAGAACAACTTGTCTAATAAAGTAGTCTACAACTTTGAATCTGCCTTTAAAAAAAAACAAAACATAAACCGTTTCCTATGTGAGTCATGCTTTTAAATGTATTCTGTGAAACTGGCAATTTTCTTTCTTCTAGATGCAAAATGGGGTTTTCCACAGTACTTGCTCCAGTGATATCATTACTAAAATGAACAAAAATGTCAGTAGCAAAGCTCAACATGTTAGCCTGAAAGTAACATTGAAGCAAAATGCAATTAAATTAAACTTGAAAATTAAGTCAATTATCAGCTTAAACAATGATCCTATGTTTCTGTAAAGGTGTCTACTGCACAATCGCTTAAAAAAGAATATCCCTTAAGAAGCCAAGAATCTACTCTAAGTAAAAAGTCAGCCAAGAGGAAAGATGGGACTCTACAGAAAATTGGTGATTTTTTCCAAACTTCTCCTAGTATTATTAGCTCTAAAGGTGAGTACAGTGTAAATAAGGCTTATTCCCTATTCTCTGGCCATTGCARAATGGCAGACTAGAAAAGATTGTCTTGGTTGTGAGGACCACATTGTTCTAAAACTTAGGTTGTGTRAAATATAAACCAGTGTGGAATGTGTGCATATTTGTTATAAAAGCAATGATAACTGTTAGGCCCAAAATGTACTTATTTACAGGTAACGACAATTTTAGAAACTCACCCTGATGCTCTCAAAAAATCAAAGTCTGAATCCAAACTCCAAATCTTACCTTGCTCTGTAAGCAATCCCTTGTTGCTGCGTAAACTTGGTTTTTTGATGTATGTTAATTCTCTGAAATCTGAAAGCCAATGACTCAAGAAAATATTTGCAAGACTTCATTAAACTGAATATAGAGCAATTAATTTATTTTGTTAAATTCAGGTATAGCCTTGAGAAGATTAATGGCTAGGACTTTCTGTTGAAAGATATGTTTTTATTCTTCCCTTCAGTGAGAATGATCTCTAGGTCACTGTGTTTTTAGAAAAAAGTAAAAAAAAAGGAATCACCAGTATTTAATTCTAAAAGACACTGTGATTTGTTTGTTTAAAACAAAGTTGGTCATTATTTAATGTGGACAGTTAAAATAAACTCTTGGACCAACTTGAAAGCTTGTCCTGCTAAGAAGTACACCTTAATTTATCTGGCATAATATACAGTTTAAATAATRACTGTGTGAAATATTTAAAAATTTCTACATTTGTCATATTGGTTCCATGAGCAGACTGTTTATTATTATAAATGGAAGCCAAAGTCAGTCTACTTAAAATTCCATCCTTGATTTGAATACTTAYTTTGAGCAAATGAGCTCTGTTTTGTAACCTTTATCACCATGTCCTGTATGGTTTCCCTCTTTGTGTAAYAGTTGCTTATTTCTTACATTTTTTTTTCTAGTGCATGTACTCCCCTCTTTATAGAGCTAGTACTAGTTTGATAAAGGTATACAAATATATATAGAGAAAATGGACTGTACGCTGTGCTTGTCAGCACAATTAAGYCTTCTAAGTTGTTCAACTTAGAAGTCTCTTAGATTTCAGTGAGATTTGAATCCTAGTTGATTTTTAATGTGCTATTTAAATGTGTCATTTAAGCTTTTGCATCTCAAACTACAGAAAACTGTGGTAGTCAAATACCACTTATGAATTTTTATATTTGAACTTTGGGTTCCACTGGTKTAATTTTTTAACCGTTTTAATAAAGCTTGCTTTATTCATGAATTTTGAGGCTCACAAAACCATGACATGTATTTATGATAAAATTTGTCTTCTAGCAAAGAAGCTTATTGAGACAATAAGCTCTCCCAAGTCTGCAGAACCACAAAATGTCAAAGAAAATGAGCTCAAGCCAAAACGAGCTAAGAGAAGGCTCTATTCAAATGACATTTCTTGCCCTCTGGATACCCCATGTTCTTCAGTAAGTGGTTAAGATTCCTGTTTCTTTTCCCATACTGTAATGTTTTTCTGTAATCTTAGCTTAAAATTAAATATTATGGGAACAAGACAAATCTGAATATCTAATTGAGTTGCACAAGAGGTTTGAAAATACCAACTTACTYCTTGATTCTACCTAGCTATTCCTTTTGGTCTTTTCTTTCTGTTGTTTTACTGAATTTTTTCTGTTTTCCCACCTTTCAGTGAATAGGTAAATTTCACCAGAGTGACTCAGGTAAAATTCTGGAAAGAGATTCTGGGAAAAATTATTCTCTTGGACATACAGGTCTAGAAGATGAATATCATTTGTCTCTGAAGAAATGCTGAATAAGCATCTTTTAACCTGTCTTTTTCAGATCCTTTTTGAACCAAAAGAGAAGGAAAGTGATCATCTGATCATCAAGCGACGACTGCGCTCAAGAACAGCAAAATAACCATGCAAAAGTGTATATATTTTTTTAGCTAGGACCTATTCCCATTGTATTATTCCAGYTTGTTGTATGTAGGAAGCAATAGATATTTAGTCGAGCTAAAGAGTCTGATTATAGTTGTATAGAATTGTTCTGACTCCATTAAAATTGAGAAGTTCRTCAAAGCTTGTGTGTGAAACTTTTTATTTTGTTTACTTGGAACAGTGTCTTTGGAAGTATTCATAACTTACTCATTGTGCAGTAAGAGCTAGGCCTGTGTGGAATCGTTTCAATTGCTTTTTTCAGACAACCCGTCTACCTTGACTTTGAGTGGGAAAGAATGAGTACACATTGATACTTGTACATCCTTTAATTCTCTTAAAATGTTTTTAAAATTGTTTGCTTCAACTTCAGCTCCTTTGTGGTGAGAGCTTTATTTCTTTTTCATCCTCCTGGCMCTCCAGTCATAAACAAAGTGCTCTATGCTCACAGGTATTGGAAAAAAATCATTTCTTCCTTTCTTGGCAGGGAGGAATGTCACTAGCCCTGATATGAAAGTACGATGTGATACTCTTGTGGGTATTTGAACAAGATGTGTTCCCCTTTGGAAAAGAACAAGCTGTGTTCCTCTTTGTTTCTGTTGAACATCCCAGAAAATGCTTCACTTGTTGAAGTGTTTCCTTAGTTGTAATGAGTGGTCAGGAGACAGAGGCAATCTTCTAGTCACTCATCTAAGTCTGTCCATTCTGACRTGCAAATCATCCAGCACTCAGATTCCAGAGCACTGGGCTTCCTGCAGCCATCAAGAGACAGTCTTGGGCTGCTTGCTTTAGGTGGTTCAATGAATAATTTTGAAATGAGGCTAGTGATGGCATTGTGTGCAAGGTGTTCTGGATGTCTTCCTTTCCAAGCAGTTTGGCCAGCTAAAATATATTATCTAAACAAATTCAAATAATCCTTGAATATTCAACTGTTTTGGAAAAAAAAAATCTGGCAGTAGTGCTTTGAGCTTAATTTATGTCATCTTTCTAAGTATAGAATGTCCATGTGTGAAATACTACATGGTATTAATTTTTATTAGCATCTATKGATAATGTTAAGATGATCACATAGATGCACTCATCACTAATGTTGACTGTTTATCCTCTTGCTTATAAAAACACCCAGTGAAATGCTGACTCCTGCAGACACTGCTTTAAGCAAAGCTGGAACATTGAGTTCCCAGCAGGAAACGGTTTGGACAATCTCACACAAAGTAAGTTTTCTCTTCCTTGTATATTAAATTTTGTAAACATAATAGTGATGCAAATTAGTAATAAAAAAATGAAACAGCAAGTACAGTCAGTCTCTTTGATTCTCATGACAGCTTTTGAAAGAAAAATCCTGAAGTTGAATTTCCCTTAAGGGGTAACTCCTGTTTACTAATGCAATAAACATAATTGATGAAAGAAATATCTGTTATACAGATATTGCTAAAATACCAAGTTCTTTGTAACTTAAACATTTCAGTCTTGTGGGAGATGGAAATCTGTGTTACAGTAAAAGATACGCAAGTCATATCTGCCTATCATTTATGGTTTAGGGGAATTAAATGTTCTGCTTGATTCAAACACATAATTAATTCCCAAAAATGTTGACATTTCATTTTTAGTTACAAAGTAAGTTTYAAAAACCTGAGTAAAATGACCTTTCTCACCTCTGCATTGCTTTAGCATTATAGATAGCTGGGAAAACATGTTGTAACCAAAGCAGCTACAGCAAGGTCAGTACCTGAAGTTTTGGCAGCTGAACTTTTGGTTTGGCAGATCTCAGGGTGGGTTTTGGAGCATCAGAGGGAGCAGTCCCCACTCAGGCAGGCTGTGGCTGTGCTGATGAGCCTGTGCCTCTGAGCAGTTCCTCCTGGCTGCTCAGTGGCAGCAGTGCCTGGACCCAGAGCTTGGCTCAGCTGAGTAATGCCATGGCTGAGCCTCTGCAGAGCTGTGCTGTGCCTCCAGCTGCAGGGCTAAGGGTTCCTGACTGGCATCTGAAATTGCTGCAGAGCCTGRCTCGTGGCAGGCTGAGGTTCTGCTCTTTTCGACGGGGTGAAGGGAAAAGATGCCTGTGAAGTGCTGAAGTTGTGCCATCTTGAGAGCAAACACGTGTCTCAGTGGATATCTTCCATACCCTTCCGTCTTTTCCCCTCTTGCTTATTTTCTAATATGTCACAGCTTTTGAAATAAAGGCAGTGTTGTTTCACTGCTTAATCTGTTATAAAGATTTATGTTCTTTATCAATATTTTGGTTTTACAGTTCAATAAGGTATCATCTATGGTAAAATAGCTCTTGAGGGCCTATTCTGCTACAGTTGGAACAGACTGAATATTCTCAGATCCCTTTTGGTCTAACATTATTTCACTTCACTTCTTTTCTCCCAGCCTACAKGCAGAATCAAAACATCAATCTTGAGTTTGTTTTTAGCTTTAATARGAGAGATCTTATTGCTAAAGCACAATTACACCTCTCACATCTTTTTAACATCTAATTTTTCAGATTTTGTAGTTTCTATTAACAAAATTATATTATTGTTTAATTCAAAAACTGGCTTCCAGATGCAGTGAGCTCTTAAATAGTAGCTTTTAATGTCAACACGTAAATAACTGAAATCTGATTAATTTATTGTCATATGCACAACAGTGAATTAAATTAAAAGTGTAGGCAGAGAACTTCAAAACTACCTTTTACTTTCTCCTTCTTTTGACATATTTTCTCTTCATTGGTGTCAGTTTTTATTGCATTAACTAAAGGCACATGAAATAATAAAACTAACCAGTCCCTAGATGATTTGGAACAGGTCATGGTAGATTCAATGTTGGACAACCTGCTAAAAATACATTCAGAACTGAAATTCTGCAGACCACTAATTATGACAGAATGGTTCAGGTTGGAARGGACCAAAGGGTTTATCCATTGTGTCCAACCTTCCTGCTCACACRGGGTCATCCCAGAGCAAATGGCCCAGGATCTTGAACATCTCCAGTGRTGGAGACTCCACACCCTCGCTGGGCAATCTATTCAGGGCATTTTTACCTGCACAGTAAAAAAGTTCTTTTTCCTATTCAGGTGGAACTTCCTGTGCATCAGTTTCTGCCTGTTGCCTCTTGTTCTGTGTACTTGGATATCAGCCACGCACCCTGGGTAGGCAGAGAATRCTGATATGAGAATGTAGCAATTGTAACATTATAGATAATGGACTCATTCTTTCATACCTCACAGTTTTGCTTTCCAATGTTGCCATTCAAATATGCATACACTGAGGACTAATGCAGAAAGAGGAGACTCGTCATTGTGTCAGGAACATACATCCCTGTTTGTTAGAACATCCTCTCCCAGCTTGGAAATTGATTCAATTTGTAAAYCAAATTGGAACAATTTGTCTGTGTGGTAAATAAAATGTCTGTTTTAGCTGCTATAGTGTTCCAGCTTCCCTGACTGCCTGCTCAGTGTGCCAAAACCCCAGTTTGCCAAAACCCCAATCCTTCAGTGCTGTTGATCATGATTAGGTTGGCTTCTATGGACATTTGCCTGCAAGCAGAATTTATCCCTGTGGTTTCATGAGGGACTGTAGTAAGAAGAAAGTACTTTAGAAGGCACGAACTGTGAGTTCTGAATGAAAAGTGAGAAATGTGTGGCTTWTAGTATGCTAAAATAACAAAAAGTTACTCTTTCATGGATGCTGATCAAACAACAGCTCCTAAAGTMCAGAATTATTTGCTGGTGTTATCAGAGATTCATTGACAGGCAAGTGCTGATAAAATCATTTTATTTAAACAGGGAGCTGTTGGCAGCAGCAATGAAGAGCGCAGCCTCAAAGTATAAACCTTAGGCTCCCTCAGATATTTTAAATAGTTTTCTATTGATGTGGTGCTTAATCTCTGCAGTGCTTCTTTGTAGCACTCCAAACAATGCAGGGAAGAAAAATAAATTAAGCAAAACCGCCACATCTCTAGCCTCGTGCCCTTAGTGAATACCACAAACCTTTGACAAGAAGCAGTCCTTGCAAGTCTGTCTCCACAATTCAGCATCAACCTTTTCTTGCACACAGTTATGGTGTCAGCACCTTTAGGACAAAGGAAACCTCACAGAGCTCCATCAGTGGCCAGTGAGAACAAAAACCAGCATGGCAGAAATCTGAATTCCTACTTCTGCCCAGTTTTATCTGTATTCTGTCAAAAAACATTCCCTGAGGGCTGTGAATTTATCCATTAAGCTAGKGAAGATAAGCATGTGAGGCTATAAATCTGAGATGATTTTTATCTAAGTTGCCTGTCAGCAAAAATACTTTCTAAAGTTAGTGATGTAATTTTCCTATAACAGAGATTAGCAGGGTGTGCAGGCTGTCAGGTGTTGTCTTGTTGGAGGGGTACAACAAAAACATGAAAGAATAACACATCTCTGGAAAGGATAAAGCTAATTTTAATTTCAACAGTAGCTGCAATCAACTTTTGAGGGAAACAATCCTCAGAAAATGCCCTACATTGCATACCTCTGTGAGATTTATTTTTCCCTTTTAAACAGCTCAAACTTCAGAAAACATCCAGACATAAACATTTTRTGTTTGTTTTGATCTTGCTGTCTTCGAATTCCTTTCATGTTTGCTATTTTTTTTTTGGTCTGTCCTTTGATTGTTTCACTAAGCTTAACAACAAAAAATGAAGGGAAAAACAGGATGGATTATCTCCACCAAAAGTTATGGACTGGATTACTGAGTGCAGGCAAAATGTCTTGAAAGGAAAAAAGAAAGAAAAAGTTGGATCAGATAAGCTTTTTAAAGAATCAGGTCTCTTTGCTGCATCCATAACAAAGAGTAGCCCTATCCAGCATCAAAGCCCATCAGAGTGGAGTTCAGACCCTTCTGGAAATCTTGTCMAAGAATTCTTTATCCTCAGGTTTCCCTGCCCTCTAGATCCCTTGGTTGYAATATCATACTATAATACATTTAAGGATCATCTTTTGTGCTCTCTGATGTTCAGCCTTCCTTGAAAGGCCACATTTTTTAGACTCCTGCTCATTCCCTGTGSTCTCCTTTTGTTATCCCCAATGTGTGGGGGCTTCTCCTGGTCACCATCCTGCCCAGCTCCACCTGCCTCACCATGTGGGCACTGTGAAGTGGGRTAGTATTAGATGTTATTTTGGCTCTGTGTAGCTTCTTGTTTTAGTGGAGCTTTTATAATCTCGGGGGAGGTTTAAATGTGTTTTCTCTGGAGACAAATATTTGCTATATGTGA